CAAATTCTACTTTCTGGTGATGGAGTAGATTTAAGAACTTTCTGTCAACCCGAACCGCTCGTTTTCCCCCGACTCATCGCTTTATCCGGCCTCTCTTTTTGAGTTAGCTGCACCCATCAAGTAAGTAATGGCATAATTTTCATGGTACCTAAATGCATAGAGTACAGAAGAACCGTAATAACCAATTCTGAACGAAATAAAAATCCAGCGCTCGAGGTTGCAACGCGATTTGGGTCATTTTGACGAATTTTAAATCAAAAGCTGGCAACACTGCAACTCTAAATTGTTCAAATATGCCTTTTCTTATCGAAAACTCTCAGATTGCACATTTTTCGTGAAATTTTGGAGGAAATCACACCTCGAAACCTTCATTTTATCATCAAATTCGATATTTTTGAGTCCGCAAATTGGCAACGCTGCCGCGGGGGGCAAAAAATTTTGTATGGGCATGAAAATTTCAGAAAAGTCACATCTTATACCAGGTTAATACATACTAAAAGTTCAGATCGGTCACGGCAAGGATGAGAGAGAAAAGGTTCAACTTGCCGCCCCGTGCTCAGTGTGCTATTTTACCCTTAAAAAACCGCAAAAATTCGATTATTTTTCAAAAATCTCAAACACTCTACTTCGAAATTGGCCAAAACCCCATCAGGCAGTACCCTACTACAACTTACAATTTGAATTTTTGATTTTGAATGGAAATCACACTCCGAAACCTTCATTTTATCATTAAATTCGATATTTTGGAGTCCGCAACTTGGCAACGCTGCCGCGGGAGCAAAAAAATTTGTATGGGCATGAAAATTTCAGAAAAGTCCCATCTTATACCAGGTAAAAACATACTAAAAATTCAGATCGGTCAAGGCAAGGATGAGGGAGAGGGGGTTTAATTTGTCGCCCGGAGGCCAATTTTGCTATTTTACCCCTAAAAAACCACAAAAATGCGATTATTTTTCGAGGAGCTCCGACAACCTATTTCGAAATTGCCCAAAAACCCATCAGGGAGTACCCCACTACAACCTCCAACTTGAATTTTTGATGTACATCAAAGTCGCATTTAAAGTGAGTTCAGGGGCACCGTGGCTAGGATTCATCCAATTTTCAAAAAAAAATTGTTTCGCGTGTATTTAGCAATTTTTTCCTTACTCTCCATTAAAACACGAATAAAAAGAGGCCTCATTCATAAAAATTGGCCGAATAGAAGAGAAGTTACAGTATTCGAAATCCGAAGAAATCAACAAAACCTCAATTTCTCCATACAAAAAATAAAATGAAGGGAAAAAATAAATATATAAATTACAATTAAATAGAATTGACCTCAGAATTTTTCGGGATTGAAATTACTTACATATTATTGTTTTATGAAAAATAAATTCACCCAAAATGACTATAGCATATTGACTTTTACATATGTGCACTCACAAAATTGATTGTTAAATTCAACGAGTGGGTACATCGACCTGGTATATCAAGTTTCTGCGATATTTTACGGCAAATCGGTAGATTTTCGGGATGTAGATTGCAGACTTTCAATTCATGAATGAATAAAGCATGGACATGGTTGAACTTCTTTGCATGGAAAGACGTTTAAAATAACAAAATCAAGACGTAGTTAATACAATTGCATTTATATCGAGTCAATTTCTTTTCAATAATACAGGGTGTCCCAAAAGTCCCTTCCACCCCCTCTAAAATTTTACCTAATTAATATTTTGAAACGAAACTTTGGGTATGTTCATCGATCAATGTTAGCTACTTTTGGGGCCCCCCAAAATTTTCGGGCCCCCCGTGGGGAGGGGCTGCGGATCCCAACTTTTTTTCTTCAAATAGCAACCCCTATCTTGTGATACGTCATTCAAAAGAGCATAAAGAACTAAGAATTTTGGCGCAAACCGCAGATCAATATCTTAATTTTTGACCGAGTTATGATAGGTCATAGGTCAAATTTGACCTATTTTCAAAAAATCATAACTCCGGTTCAATTTATCGTAATGGAAAAAATAAAACGGGAAAATTTACCGAATTGTAAGCACTTTTAAGAAAAAATCACAGAAATTACTTCAAACTAATTTTAAGGGGGGTTTCGGACCCCCAAATACGTCAATTCAAAGGTCATTCAATTTTCCCGCGAAATAAGCCAATTTCCCCCAGATTTGCCTCCACACTATCTCAGTAAGGTCAAAATCAGTTCAACATTACGTTGGCAAGTCTTCAAATTTTGGGAAAAGTTTAAAAAATCAGCAAAGTAGCAAACTTGCAGTTTGCTGAAGGGAAGATCTATAATTTTAACAAGTGTGACAATTTTCGGTGGTATATTTCTTCGCTAATATTTTGTGGAAATTTTATCCGGTAGTTATATTGCGGAGAGTTATATCTTGAAGTTTTGACAACTTTTACAACTGAATTTTAATTCACCTTGAAATATTCTCAACCTCATTTTCAAGATTCTGAAGCTCTTCTAGTTCAAAGAAGTATAAAAATCTGTAAGTACCTAGACCTACGCCAGTGGTTTTCCTTTGTTAATCATTTAGGTGATTTCCTACTTTGCATTCGTATTTTTTATCAAGGGATGAACCAGGTTTTGTTTTTCACAAATGCTGAATTCTCATTGAGTGAAAGTAATTACATTTATTGAGAACGGGCTGCAAAGTGATAAAGTGATTTTTCAATTTACATTTTTGCTGCAATGAGTTTTAAAAATTTATCACCTTGGGGGCAGTCTATTTTACAACTAAAATAGGTAGCAAGAATTTTTGATCTATCTACATTTGTTCCCCCATGTCTCTGTGGTTGGACTATTTCCATAACATTGTACCCAGTTAATTGAATACTGATGGCTGATCAAACTGCTCGTGAAAATACATAAAACATATTTGCGCAGGGCGGCTTCGGTACTTGCTGGACTGGCTGGAGGTACAAATTTTCCTATTATCCCAAAAGCTGAAGTAAAGGTATTGTCAACCTGATATGGGCTAAAATGAGTGGAATAATTTTCCAATTTTTTGTTTGTTTTATCCATGAAACATTGACAAGTATTCCACAGATTTAATAAGCAATATAGTCAACTGCTTCACATCTATGAACTTTACTCATCTGTGTCCTAAAAATAAATTCGAAGGTATATTTTGCAAAGTTAAGAATCAGCCGAATACTTCCAAGCCAAGCTGATTCTGCTATCTAAAAAATCAGAGTGCTTTATTTTTTTTAAGGAAGGCTTGCAATATTAAAGTTAGGTTTTTGAAAATCTCTCTCGATTTCTCTACACGATGAATAAGCTAACATTCATGTGCTGCTTTACTTACTCAATAAGACAATTACTCATCTCTTTTCTCAAATTAACTTGCTGAACTATCAGCCAAGAAGTTCAAATCTCTCCTGATATCTCAAACATGATCAACAAGCTAAGGTTCATATCCTCCTTTTCTTTCTCAGCCAGTGAAGTATCCATCACATTCCTGAAATTAAATGGTTATGAACTATCAACAAGGAAGTATATACCTATTTTAAAAAAATTAGTGTCTGCCCGGAACATTCCGGGTTTTGATAGCCCGGAATTTGCGGCTATGGTAGCCGTCGGTGAATGACCTTCACAGCCGCAAATTCCGTGCTGCGCGTCCAGAGTGCTCCGGCCGCCGGACGCGGAACGGACGGTAGCTGTATATAGCCCGTACAGTCCGTGCTCCGGGTCCATTACTTTCGGCTCGCACGGCCGGAGGTTTTTTTGAGTGTTGACTTCCGCTTCTTCTTCCTCTTCGTCGTTTCCTGAACTCTCTACTATATCTTCAAAGTCATCGTTCAGTGCTGATATCTTAGGATCAAGTTCGTTACTTTCTTCTAAAATGTGCCTTTTTTTGTATTCTTGGAAGAATCACAGCGCACACTCTATCTTCTCGTAATAACTCGTATAACGTGCTCAGCTCTCGAGCCAAGGGCTGGCTCGTGGGGGTCGCAGATGGGGGCGTCCACCAGACAGGGAAGATCTGGAAGGGGGAGGGGTAGATCTAGGGGGATGAAAGAGCCCTGTCACTCTAACTAAAATGGTCACCTACCTTGAGAGTGGTATCCTAGGGAAAGAATGACTCACAGACTAGGAGGTGGCCGCTCGATATATTGGTGTAAAGAGATCAACTATAAAACTACTAACAACAACTACCACACAGGTAACAAACTACAAAACTACTAACAACAAACCACACAGGTAACCACACAGATAACACGTTCACACAGAACAATTCTAACATCAAGGGGTCACTTCTCTGCCGATAGGGGATGGGGGACGTACCGCACTCGGGCTACACAACAGGGAAGGCACCACGGAAGGGGCGCAGGGTACGACAAGGCCGAGGTTTCCGGTTGGAGCACACGGGCAAGGAGGCAACGCGACTGACTTCAGGAGATTTCAGAGGGCTCCTCGTGGGTCCCCAGGGCTGCTAACTTGACGTCATTTCCCACGGTTAGTTCGCCAAAATCGCCTGACCAAGCTCGTCATTTCCGCCAGGACTCCGAAATCCAAGAAAACCACTGGCTATGTCGCCGTTCCGTGGATTTCGGTCGCTCGACGCCCGAGGCTGGGGTGTATAGAATTGAGGGATTTCTCGAGCTATCTGACAAGGCCGTGTCTGGAGATGTGACCGAGTGATGTCACCGCCGGATGTAACGAGCTGTGTCATAAAAAGTCCCCGCGGACCTACCGATTTCCCGGCGCGATACTGGCCCACGGCCCTCAAGACGCACTGCTTCGACATTCCGTTATAGCTCATCTATAAATTCATCCATATGAACCATTTCAAAAACACCATGGCGATTCTGGCGTCGGAGTTTCCTACTGTCGTTATACAATGGCTCTGGATACTTATGACAGTCAAGCTATTTGTATTGTTCGTATGAATCGTATCTTCAGTGACAGAGGAGGTAGACACTCGATCCTGGACGGTGGCAGTAGTGACACTGTTGTTGTTGGGACCGGAATTTGAACCAGACATTTTCTCTGAAATCAAGGATTAGTTGGTTAAATTCTCGGCAACCGGTAAAGGGAATAGCTTCACTCCTGGACGAAGAAGTGTTCCACAGGCCGTACGAACATCTACCACTCGAGTGTGGCCGTCTCTTCCAGGGTGAAGTTGAATAACTCGTCCTAAGTTCCACCGTGAAGGAGGGGTAGAGGGATCGTGTAATACCACTAGTTGCCCCTCTCTCAAAGAGTCCTCCTTCTCCCACCATTTTCCCCTCGGCAGTAAGGTATGCAGATACTCTATGTGCCACCTTCGCCAAAATTGCTGAACCAATAACTCTGCCAAATGCCACCTTCTAAGAATAGGAGGATCGTCTGGATCATACTGTTTATTGGGTAACGCTCCGAAAGGACGCCCAATCAAGAAGTGACCCGGAGTGAGAGCCAAAAGATGCCTATGATCTGACGATAGAGCAGTTAAAGGTCTAGAATTTAAAACAGTTTCTATCCGTGCGATCAAGGTATTAAATTCTTCTTGAGTGAGAACATTTAGACCGTACGTTCGTTTTAAGTGAAACTTGAAACTCTTCACCACTGCCTCCCAGATGCCTCCAAAGTGAGGTCCCGTAGGAACATTGAGATGAAATTCAATTTTCTCCTCATGAGAAAACTGAATTAACTCAGAATTTGAAGGAGACAAAAGCTTTTCGAAAAGATTTACTGCTTTTTTGAAATTCGACGCCTGATCGCAATAGATATATGCTGCCAAACCTCTTCTGGCCACAAATCTATGCAAAGCACCTATGAACGCATTTGTTGAGAGATCACAGACTGATTCCAGATGCGCTGCTTTTGTGCTCATGCAGACGAAAACACAAACATAGACAGGCATAACCCGAGCAAATCGAGAAAAATGAACCTTGACATTGAAAAAACCGCTATAATCCAGACCGGTTTTATAGAAAGGTGGACTAGGCTGTACTCTGAATGATGGTAACGGTGCCATTTGTGGAAATCGATTTTTAGGATTGGCCCTGAAACACACCACACAACCGTACACGATTGATTTGATTAGATTTCGCAGACCCAAAATCCAAAAGCGTTGCACGATCAATGAAAATAAAAGTTGAGGAGGTGCGTGAAGATTGTCAATGTGGTAATGCTAATAATAATCTCACCACATGATGGTTAGAAGACAAAATGATCGAGTACCTCGATGACTCCGGTAATGAAGCATGTTCTAATCTCCCTCCGGCTCGAAGTAAACCTCTTATGATCCAAATAAGGATTTAATTCTTAAATCGCTTTGGGTTTTGCAGACAACCTTTCTCCGGTCCGAACTTAGCGAATTTCTGAACTAAGAGTGTTCTTTCGGATTAACTTGAGCAGCAGGAATTCTTCGTGCTCTATTTCTGAAAGAGATAAAGACCCCTTTTTGATGGGTTCGAGGTTTTTCGACAAGAAATGTCTCGCCCCGAAACGCCATACATATGCTAATGAGTGGACGACCTTTGTCCAGGAAGATAGACTTGGTAGACGAATAGAAATTTGCGGAGAGGGGGCAGGGACGGAGACCTCCTCCTTCCCGACTTGAACTTTGAGAATTTCCCTGGGTGACTTCACATCAGGCAACGCCTTTAAGGGAGAGCTTCACCCAAATTTTTTTTCCCTGTTTGACCTCCCCCCCCCCACACACTTTTAGGGGTGCTTAGGTACCTATTAGAGGGTACCGTGTGCAAACTTTCAGCCCATAGTGTGCAGTTAATCTCAAGAAAACAGTAAATTAGTGAAAAATGAGGCATTTTCTGGAACAAGCATATCTTGAGCTCTAATGCTCTCTTTTACTCCCTCTTTTTCTTAAAAGAAATGTAATTATGAATAGAACAATCTGTAGGATTATTTTTTTATGAGGAAAACTCTTGGTATTTTTTTTTTAATTTATTAGAAAAAGTAATTTTTCTACAGGTCTAGTGAATTCTACTTCTTTTGTAAAAAAGCCAAGTTTTGATACAATATTATCCATCCTACAGTTTTTAGAGGAGACTCTCATGAGTATTTTCAAAAAAAATCAGTGTCTAGCTGCAACACAGCTCAAGTTATGATTGTTTTAAGTTTAAAAACGACCTAATAATGAAACTTTTCAGGAGCGCATGATAAAGAAAAAATTTTAAATGAAAAAAGTAGAACATTTGAGTTTGAGAATAAAATAAAGTACTATGCTCTGATTTCCAAACCTTTTCCTGATTTTCCTTTTGTTTGCTTTTTCTGATTTTTTTGACAAACCAAAATTTCACTAGGTTCAGTGGCAAATTTTTGGGGAGTTTTTTCTTATGACATCTTATCTTTAAAAGGTTAGTAAAATTACTTCAGAAGCTCGTAGGAATATAATAATTACAGCATTGTCTTTAGGAGGATACAAGGTATAGGAAAACATGAAAAACCAAAAATGATATTTTTTGGAAAAAAATATCATTTTCAGGGTGAATTCCTCCCTTAAAGAGGGGAGGTTAAGATTTGAGACTGGCCAAGTCTCCTTTGGATCAGCCAGCCTAGAGGGGCCTGACCATTAGAGCCGAAAAGTCGACAATTCCTCAGGGGAAAGTCCCCTTGTCGCACAATCTGTTGCATTGTACTACGACAGCTTCGGTGATTTACCACCACCCGTTGAAATTACGCGATACATTTTACGCTCACGCGGTAGCTCAACAACGACGACGACGATAGGATACAATTATGATAGCGAACACAATTTCAACTCGAGCGTTTGCGGGAAACGATGTTTAGAATGGCTCGTACAAACCAGGAATATATAGTATTTTCGAAACCCGAATATGGAAACTCAGAAAAGATGTCACACGTTCATGTTGACGGGGAGGAGCAACGTTCTCGAGTATGCACTGCCTAGACCTCTCGAGTTGTTCGGACCTTGCGAGATCGGTCTGACGGGTTTTGTAACTTATTATTCCATCCCGAACATCGACATAACGAACAGACTGCTTTTCTACTCCGAGAGCCCTGAAGAGAATTACTCGGCAATTTCCTTCCCGATCGGAGCCTACGAGATCGATTTCTATAATCAGCCAGAAATTTATCACAAAATGTTGTCTCAACGTTTTCCGCAAAGCCATTACAATATCTTTACAAACCTGTTACATTGTCAAATAGGTATATCAGAGATCAAATTACAAAATGTCACCAGCCATAATTGGCGGCAAAGCTGTATAGGTAGTAGGTTTATTATTGCGTTAGTTCACTGCATGTTAAGTTTGCAGTTAGTTTAGAATATTGACATAATAACGCCAATTGCGATTTAAAATTACTTTCAGAAGTTCCAGGCAAAATGTGTACACCAATTGTGTCAAAACTAAGTATAGAGGAGCTGCTCACCTGCCCGTACGACCGTTCGCACAGAATACGGCGTTTCAAAATGGCTCTGCACTCGGTTAAGTGTCGAAGGCAGTACGAAAAACAAAACCCGCACCACGACATGAAACACTGCATTTACAATTTCAATCATGTTGTCCCGGAGAAGAAGTTGAATATGAGTATTGAGTCATCCGTTCTTTTATAATTGTCTATCCTACAGGGATTGTAAAGCCTTGAAAAGTGCTTATAATAATGCTGATCTTTAAGAGAACTCCCTAGGTTTTGAACGTGCTGGATTTTTTTGAAGATGCTTTACCGAGCAATTATCGATAAAATAAGACAAATTCGACCTCTCTAAATAAAAAAATGACCAAGTTACAGTGACCCCGCAAAATTGAAAATTTCAAACAGAAATGTCGAGCAGTTTTCCTGTAAAAAACAAAATATGAACGGAAATTAACAATGTTACTAATGGAGATACCCTTTTGTTAGCCTTAGTCATTGAAGTACTCCGACAGGCAACAACGAACGCTTTGTTTTTATGATGTATTAATGCATGGTGTTAGCTTTTTGTGAAAGGTTTCGCCTCCCAGAGAGTAGATTTTTAATAGCATTGTCTCTTTTTATACACATAGATAATAGACAACATAGTTGTCTTATCAAAAAATCATCTTCCACGGTTGGATCAATGGGCCTGTTGCAAACTTTTGCTAGAGCAAAAATAAGAGTTGTTTCTTGTAGATAATGCCTCAAAAATCACGATGAGCGCATCGGCAAAGTCTGAAATGCACTCATAACTTCACAATCTGCGTAAGAAATTTGCGTTTTTTTAAGCTTCCCGCTTCAAAAACGATACTACGGCGTAGGTGAACATTTTGTTAGAGGAGTCGCTCCATCGTCGGCGATATTCATCATGGCCGACACTTGCGCGCAGTTTTGCGCGTAATTCGAGGAGAGTTCAAGGTCAATCAATGCGGGCGTGGAAAACATGAACGTTAAAACACGCCGATTGTTATCTGGTCTAGTCCAGTTCAGGTATTATCTCGTCCCATCACACGTGTTCTGGCGGATTGGCGTCGGCCATGATGAGTGTTGCCGACGATGGAACGACTCCTCTTACAAAATGTTCACCTGTGCCGTAGTATCGCTTTTGAAGCGGGAAGCTCAAAAAACCGCAAATTTCTTACGCAGACTGTGAAGTTATGAGTGCATTTCAGACTTTGCCGATGCGCTCATCGTGATTTTTGAGGCATTATCTATAAGAAACAACTCTTAGTTTTGCTCTAGCAAAAGTTTGCAACAGGCCCATTATAGTTAGTGAAATTTTGTATCTCCAAAAGACGCTAAAGAATGTTTAATTGCCTATTGATTGTTTCAGTATCAAATGGAAACGAATCCAGAGCTTGCGGCGAATTCCTTTTTCATTCCTGTCGGGGATATACCCCACGTCGAATGTGATGATGACTGGAACCTACGTACGGTATGCCTCCTATTAACACTATTGTTGCCAAGAAAGAGGCGGGCCTCACTGTTTGCATTATTTCCTCAAAAAAAAGAAAAAAACAAAAACAAACAAACAAACAAACATGTATTACAAGTCTTCTTTCGGTTGAGTTTAACGTAATTGAAATCATCGTTCCGAAAGAAATTTCTTCAGGGCCCTTCAAGATTATCTTCTAGGTATTTATCTCTGAGCAATAACTAAATGTAAGTGACACTTTGCTGGAGTATGCCAGGGACGAATACAAGAATAGGCAAGAAAAAATTACTCTAAAAATGTTACTTGAGAACTTTAAATAAAATATGACAGGTAGAAGAATGCTGGATTCACGCTATTCTGTGGGAAATTAAGATCTGGTATTCCTGCAGAAAAGATCACCTCTATCTTCTTACCCGGAAAATGAGTAGAAAGAAAAATCAAATTATTTTTTCAATTAATTCATGTGTTGTAGACAGTAAGTAATGAATGAATGTCATAGAGGAGACAGACCTGGTAAGTAGGGCTTTTTTGAATTCTGTGTGAGTATGTGTGTTTTTTTTTTTTAGTTTTAAGTTCAAAGTCATCTACAAATATTTTTTTCAGAGCCGAGCCTTGTCTGGAAAAAAGGCCCATTCAAATATTATATTTATTACTTTTTTATTCCTTTATACAAATAAACAGTCAAAATTCCAATTACGTTTTGAGCAACCAGTACAGTCGGGTCGGGAAGTTTGTACACCTATGATTTTAATGGTGTAGTAGTTTTAAGGATTAGTTTTTCTAACATGAACAAGCAAGAAATGTAATGGTTTATTGGTGGAAAACATTTTGTGTTGTGAACATTCGCTTGAAAAATTGTATTACTAAATGAAGACAGCCATTTTACAGCCTCTGCAGATGTTTAGAAAGAAGGCTAACCAACCATAGAAATGACTCTCTACCAACATTGTGGCCTTTTCCTGTAAATATTTGTAAAATGGCTCATTCGTTTCTGTATTAATTTCTTTGTGTTTTTTGGCAGTTTCAAACAGAATTCAATTGTCCATGAGTCATTCATTTTCATGAAATTTTGTCATGGGAACGGAGTTCCCCATGATATTAGAATCGTTCCGTTGCTTTCGCAATGGGATTCCCTATACCTCTGCGACCTTGAGCGTTTCGCCCAGTCTCCGATTTTTGGTTGATTTTCCGATGTATCAAAAACCGTTGTATTTTTTAGCCAATCATGTCTCTACGTCAAGTTGTGTTGATTGCTAAAATTCGCTTTCAGCGAGTTTTTTTCCACTTTGAGATGTCGTGTCTGACTGGTAAATCTGCGCAGAACCACGAAGTTCCGTTTTTAGGCAAATTCTTTTTTTTGGGAGGTTCTGATTGGTTATTTTTCGCCATCAGTTTTCTGTTCGTTGGTGCAAAAAATCGCCTACCTCGGTGTTCTTGAGAAGCCGCCATTATCCCACCTCAAATTTGAAAAATAGAAGTAAAGAAATAATAACTATCGTACAAGGTGGAAAATTGTTCTGGAGGACTCGTTACGGACAAAGAAGTCAAAATCAGAGCTTGATTGATTGATTTAATTCATGGATACGCAAATATTGCCTTAGCTCAACTGCCGCGATCGGAATGCACGCTGGTATGAACCTGGAGACACATTAAAACAGTGCGAACCATGGCTCATATCCCAAAAGCAACGTTCAAAGCGTCAAGGTCTCTGGTGATAAGTCCCGCCCATTGCCCGAGTCTTTTAAATGCTATTTTTACTCCCCATCACGCGGGTCCGTCATAGCCTAGTTGACTAAACCGCCTCGTATTCGTGAATAGATGCGGGCACTCGGCGATCGTGAGTTCGATACCCACCGATGGGAACTACTTTTTAATGGTTGTATTGAATGTTTTAGACTAATCATCAAAAAATAATTAATAGTAGATGATAAATGTACGAACATTTTCTCGTGAGTTAATATGTTAAACAAAAATACTGGAATATACCTCCTTCATATAATCAGCCACATGTCCCCCAAATTAATGACGTTATTTTCCTTTTTCAATAAAGTTAATTTGCATTCAACGTTCATAAGTTAAGCAAAAAGTACCTATTGATACAAATAGAAAGACATGAAAATAGTATGTCTGACATTTCAGTTGTTTTTTTTTATTTATTTATTTTTTGTTTTTTTGTTTTTTCAATAAAACAAATTGACTGGGACTAGAATCATCGTATCTCTGAAGACAAAAGCTAAGTTTTTTGATACAGAAATACTAATATATTCATCCTTTATATAATCAGGGAGATGTTGACCCAAATATTGATGTATATTTTCTCTGTTCGCCCAAATTAATGATGGTATTTTCTTTTTTCAATAAAATTAATTTACATTCCACGTTCTTAAAGCAATATTTTCTCCAAAATTCAGCAAAAAATAACAATTTATACCTACGCAAAAAGTAAATAAATAAATAAAGCAATGACATGAAAGTAGTATAGGTAGTACACATCTAACATTTCGGTTACATCTATTTGAATGAAAAAAATGGCAACTTAGGAAGCACATAGGTCACTTATCGACGGTGAAACTACCAAACCACGTATCTCGGTTTGCGACGTCGCAGACTTTCTGTCATACTTTATTTTTTAAATGAAAAGCTACTTAACGTCCAGTCTTGAAAATTTCCGTGATTTTTCCTCTTCGTGCGGAGAAAATTCTGTGAAAATTTCAAGGAATGATATTGATTTGGTCTACTTCAAAAAAATAAAATGTGAGCGGAGATTTTTAAACACCGCAAACGAGATACGTGGTTTGGTAGTTTCACCGTCGTTATGATGCGTATTCGGGCATATGCGTAGAGTAAAAATATCATACTTTACGCCGAAAAAACGAAACTGAAAGTTAAATGCGTTAACTTCCAAAAACCATACATAATCCAACGAAAATAAATAATTGGTAAATAACAGATTTCTTGTATGCAAAGAAAAAAAATTAAAAATGTTAAAAAAGAGATGTCGACACAAAATTACATAGCCCCTTCAATTCTGAAGTTACTACAAACGAACTGTACCTTAAAATTTTCATATCCCAGAAGCAAAAGTTCCCATGACGAATATTGCTATCGCTAGCGATTGCAAAAACCAACTTGTTGTTTATTAACTCCTATCTGATTAAATTTCAGACTGCGAGGTCCATCAATGCGGATATCAAAGCCGGGTTGAAGGACAGAAAAGTCATAATTCTGATCGAACTAGCGACCAAATCGGAGCGCCAAAAACACTATATGATGGAGCGAAGACGCTTCAAATTATTAGAAGAGCAAAACAATTCCTCCCTTGCTTCTGCTCCTAATGTGAGTATCACCAAGTAGACTTCATTTTTCAATTAGGAATTACAATTCCTAGCCCATATACCCAATTTTTAAGACCATTCGATTACTTGCATGAAAATAATTGAGACAAATTTTCTAAAAAGTTAAATTATCAATCTTTCAATTTTTTTTTTTGAAAAAAATACAAAAATTTCAAAAATAAACTTTCAGAATTCAATGGTGATGAGCTAAAGAAAAAATCTACCCTAGGAAATTATTTTAAAAAGTTGAAGATGACGAGTGGCTGCTGCTTGACTGGATGCACACGCAGAAACTCAACCAGGCTCATATGCACGGTTTATTGGTCCATTTAGCTCTCTTGCTGGTTGGGTCTAACGCAGTAAACCATGAAAACCGTATCCTACACATGAAAAATCAAAATACAAATTATAATTGATCATTTTGATATTGTTTATCGATTAATCATTTAGAGAGGATTTTGAGGGGGAAAATTGAAAATTTCAACAGAAATGTCGAGCAATTTTCCTGTAAAATACAAAATATGAACGGAAATTAACAATGTTACTAATGGAGGTACCTATTTGTTAGCCTCAGTCATTGAAGTACTCCAACAGGCCACAACGAACGCTCTGTTTGTATGATGTATTAATGCATGGTGTTAGCTTTTTGTAAAAGGTTTCGCCTCCGAGAGAGTAGATTTTCAATAGCATTGCCTTTTTTTATGCACTTAGATAATAGACAACACTGTGGTCTTATCAAAAAATCATCTTCCACGGTTGTATCAATTATAGACAGTGAAATTTTGTATTCCCAAAAGATGCTAAGGAATGTTTAATTACCTATTGATTGTTTCAGTATCAAATGGAAACGAATCCAGAGCCTGCGGCGAATTCCTTTTTCATTCCTGTCGGGGATATACCCCACGTCGAATGTGATGATGACTGGAAATGACCCACGGTATGTCTCGTATTAACACTATTGTTGCCGAGGAAGAAGGTGGCCTCACTGTTTGCATTATTCCCTAAAAAAAAAACAAAAAAAAACAAAAAAAAACAAACCTGCATTGGAACTCTTCTTTCGGTTGAGTTTAACGTAATTTAAATCATCGTTCCGAAAGAAATTTCTTCAGGGCCCTTTAAGATTATCTTCTAGGTATTTATCTCTGAGAATAACTAAAAGTAAGTGACACTTTGCTGGAGTCTGCCAGGGACGATTACAAGAATAAGCAAGAAAAAATTGTTCTAAAAACGTGACATGAGAACTTTAAATAAAATATGGCAGGTAAAAGAATGCTGGATTCACACTATGCTGTGGGAAATCAAGACCTGGTTTTCCTGCAAAGTAGTAGGGACCACCTCTATCTTCTTATCTGGAAAATGAGTAGAAAGAAAAATCAAATTAATTTTTCAATTAATTCATTTTGAGCGACCAGTACAGTCGGGTCGGGAAGTTTGTACACTCATGCGCATTCTAGAAGGTGTTTTGTCGTGTCTCGTTATCACTGGGGTACTTTCTCTATTATTCTTTTCAAGTATAGGAAAACGGTCTTATGAAGAAATTCTGTGCAAATAATACATCTTAACTTTTGATAACAATAGTTTTTAGTATGATTTAGGCTAAGACAGCGACGGCATTATGGAATCACCCTATATTTAGGATCAAGTTTACAATTTTTATTTCACATTTGTCTTTACTCTCAATTTTTTCAAGAGTTTCTTTAAGTTTATCATTATACTTAAAGTTTACTTAGAATATGGGCACTGATTTATTATCTTTAGTATGTATGATCGGATTAATTTGTATGATATTTATTTTTTCATGAAGTTCAAGAGATTGCTTGATTTTTTTTTAGGTTCCACCTCGAAGTTGATTTAGCTGCTTAACCCAACTTAACCTAATTCGGCTTGATGTGGTTGCCTACATTCTGGTATTTCTGCCTGAGATGAAAGATATTTTTCTTTGGAAACTCAAAAGAGTCCATTTTGTTTCTTTTTCCACTATTGTTTCTTTTGTTTAAATATGTAAATCTACATTTGTACGTACTTATTTACTTATTTATGCTAAAGGAACTCGGTTGCATGCCAATTTTATGCCCATAGAGTAAAGCACCAGTCCAAAAGAATAAAAGTAGTACATAGTGAATAAATGATCAATCTCCTTCAACATCTCGTCCCAAACGAATCCACGTCTCCTCAAGTCTTCTTATATCACCGTTTTTGTATGAGAATATACTTTGTCTTAATATTTTCAATAGGTACCCTTTTCGAAATGTCTGTGTTGAAAAAACATTTTTCTGTAGTATTTCCTGTTAAAGGTGTGACAAGTTCAAATATCTAGTTGCAATCATGGAACCTGCATCCGAAATTACCAGATAAACTTATTGTAGAAGCTCTCTCCAAATATTTTGAAAAAATTGGGCCCATCGAAAAAACTTCGGGCTTTCCTCTACCGTATTTACAACGGATAGAATTAACTGTTCACCGTAAGAATACAGAAAATATTTTACCCGGCACTATCATTATTCCGTACGACGATGAAAATTTAGAAACATTTCTTTCATTTGACCCACGTGCATGTCTTCGATGTTTATCTACTGGTTATTATACAGACGGTTGTTTAAATTTAATGCACTCGAAAAGCACAAGCCATGAAGTTCATTTACTCAGCCGGGAATTAAAAAGTTGCAATATCGATGCCACATGCCAATCAAGCGAGCAGCCTATCCTGTAAGGCGCGAGCCGTCTGAGGCCGTAACCTGGTCCAAGCAATCTGTTATCTCTATTCAATAAGGGCGTCGATTTCTCTCATGAATGACGTGCTCGTTTTCTGCTTTTTCCTTCCAGCCTCGTTGAGGCATATCATTTTACCCTCGTCATTTTCTCATAGAAACATAGAAATAAGTCATAAGTATAGGAATCATCAAGTCCACCTTTTTCAGTCATGAAGCAAATATTGTGAAGAATGCGTCAGGCTAAGAACATTCGGCAAACCTGAAGATGATTTTCGATAGGCATTTATCTGTTGAAATGTAGTTGATCTATTTTTTCAAGACATCAAGACTTTAAATCAAGATTAGAATTAAACTAGGTAAAGCAGATGTTATCCCGAAATTTGACAGTGATTCAACTATGCGCAGCTCATCATACCGTAGAGGGTCAAAATTGTTTTTAATCCTACAAAGGCATAATTAACATTAATTAGGTATGCAATCTCATCTGATGGCCTCATTTTGAATAGCTTCTTTGTTCATTCCGGCAGGGCCGGATTTACGTTTTTGGCGCCCTGTGCAGAAATTTTCGAGGCGCCCCCCTCGCACGTCCCCCTCGCACGTCCGTCCCCTCGCACGTACCCTTCCTCCAACCCGCGCATTTCCCAATCCGACGGTCTTCTTCGGTTACAACATGCTAATTCTAATTAAATCCGAACTTTTCGAGTGAGTGAATGATTCTGTGGCAGAAACCAAAACCAGGTACCTGTTCCTGTTACTGTTAATTACGAAACTAAGTGAATGTTTGACCCTTAGAGTCTAGAGTCAGGTCATTTAAAAGATGGAACGCAATACAATCAATCAACAATCAGCGTTTCTGAACTTTCGACGCAATTCTCAATTTTTTGCAGAGTCTGGGAAAAAAACCCAAAATTTGGCGTCCCTCAAAAGTTGGCGCCCTGTGCAGCTGCACCGATGCATCATAGGTAAATCCGGCACTATTCACTCGTGACTCAGAAAATGTTGACTGTTTAATCTAACTGCTTCAATAAAAGTATCAGTTGTTTTTATTAGCTAGAGTCGTCAATAGTTTCGTTGATATCCCCGCTCCCGATGGTGGTATTTCATTCTTGCACAAGAACGGAAGGTTCTTGTGCAGGTCGTGGAGGTGTTCTGGATATTCAATATCTACATCGAGTATGAACCCGAAAGGAACGTCGTCGGGATGGTTGATAATAGTTTTCGCCAGAGTTAGCAACTCTTCTCCTTCCGGGACCCAAGTGTAGTTATCGTAGGGCAGATGCTTTCTCATGGTATGGGCATAGAGTGTCGTCACATCTAAGTATTGTATATAATTCTTTGGTTTTTTAGGATCAAACTGATCCGGTATCAAAGGATTGTTTGCGAGAGCGTGCCGTTTCACCACCTGTGTTATCCCGCCTCGGATCGAGCTCATAATCATGAATACCATATCCATATCATTGAAGAGTTGGATTTTCGTTTTAGTTATTTTTAAGAAGGCGTCGAAAGCGAAACCGGATAGCGTTAAGTAGTTGGTACAGTCCAAACCATAGTTTTTCATTCCAAAGAGTCGGAACTCCTCGAACACATCGCTGAGGAGGCACACGTCGAGTCGCAAGTAGAAATCTGAATACTCGCCGAGATTACGGAAAATGTCCGTTTGAGTCAGGGTGTTGAAGAAAGCCTCTCGCGGTGGTGGACGCGTCTCGTTCAGCTTGGCCGGATTGTCAACGTAATCGTACGGGAACGGAGCTTTCCGACAAACCAGATCGAACTCATTGTCTGTGCGAGTGAGCTTCCTCGTGCGAACGAAAGATTCGCGCTAGATCGTCTGAACCAGTTTATCCAACGATGCGGGGAGGAAACGGAACGAGTCGATGAACTTGATCGAAAACCTGTTACCCAGATGGACCGTCATGCTGATGTAATTTTCCTCCGTGTGTGGTATTATTTCGACGCTATGAGGATACTTGTTCAGAGCCAGCACTACCTCGTGGAAATCGTACCTGCTACCATTGTGCAGGACGACTTTAACACATTTTTCATGTCGGAAAATAAGATTGCAATTAGAACATAAGGCTTTTCGATAATTGGACCCTGTTTTCCCTCCCGCTCTCTTTTGATGGTCATGATCCCTTACCTTTACGATACCTGGTTGTGAGAAATCCACCTCGCAATGTCCACACCTATTTTCCGCTTCAAATGAGGCTCGGTCTTCATGTGTCATGATTATTTTTCCCTCTTTATCGTTGTAACTCTCACTGATTCTTTCTACCAGAGTGATTATATCGTCCAGAAATTTGATATGTGCCTCTTCGCCACGGTACAGTTTCGGTTCCGTCATTTTAAATTCGGGATCCTCAGTGACGAGGAGGTAAGCGTAAGAATTTGAGATGTGCCGCCTATACGCAGACGCTGGATGCTCCGAGTCACCATGAATTTGTTCTAAGTAGGCTTCAAAGTCTGCATAAATTACGTAATTATGTTTTATTTCCTTGTGGTGATTTTTGAATTTGAGGTATCGCTCGTCGGGAAATGAAGCTAGAAATGCGTCTTTGCTTACCAAAGAGCAAAGAACTTTATGTTGATTCAATTGCTTCATCGAGTACTTGTACGTAAAGCATTTCTTGCAGATGTAGATACGATGTTGATGTTTTGTCAACTGTTTACGTACAAGTTGTTCAAAGTCCTTGATCCAGCAATAATGGTAACTGAAAGGTACGGGGGTTGAGAGACATAGTAGGTCGGTGTGGTCCTCTTTTTCCGGGTCGGCAACTTTAATTGGGTAAACTGTATACTTTTTCTTGTTGGACACCAAACTCTCACGGAGCCCAAATACCGAAACCGATACGTTGTTCCTTTTCTCGAATTTGATAATGTCATCTATGCTCGTGGGGAATCGGACGACCGAGAAATCGTAATGATTGAGTATATCTACATATTTAGCCGGATCATATTTATGCTTCTCTTCCTTTGGGACGAACTTTGCCAACATTGCGAAAAAGAAACAATCGTTATATTCACCGTTATTTACATTGACAACATGCTTCGTTGAAAATGGCACCTTAACGTACGTTCCTCTTCGATGTAACGCGTAATAGCGGTTGACACGTAGCTCCATAACCTGTATCTTCTTCGGCACCCACCCGGATCCGTTCATGTGAAAATCGAATGACTCTTTATTGATCTTGGCCCTGAACTTTTCATAATACTCGTCCAGATCCGTTGACGCGAAAACAGCTTCGTTTTTAGTCTTGAATTTTTTCAACTGCATTCCTTCCTTGTCCTTATCGTCAGCTTTCTCGTATTCTGCGTAAACTAGTATATTTACCTTCAATGCCTCGTCGGTGAGTTCTTCTTTAATTTTTCCAGTCACGAGGTCTTTAGCTGATAGTAGGTAGTCATCGATGATGAGAATCTCCGGTTGGAGGTTCGTGATGAAAAATGTTTTCAACCTACTTTGACAAGCAGTCTCAACTTGAACAATCGGTACTTTAGTCTCAAACAAATTTCTTATGTGACTTGCAGATTCTTCATGTTTTTCTCTTTTATGGTATGAAATCTTGCACGTGTAACAATATTCTTGATTCTCATCGTTGTTGTCATCGGCAGGTGATGAGGTGTCCTTCATGGTGGACATCTTTTCAATATGTTCGGGAGATTGCTCATGATTCTCTCCCTCCGCATAAAACTCATCACAAAGATCACAATGGATGAGCGCATTGTGCTCCTGTTTAATATGCGTTTCAACGTTGATACCCTCCTCCTTCTTAATTTGTTCCGCACAGTGTTCGTGCTTTTCACCTTGTTAATAAAATTCATCACAAATATCAAATTGGATGAAAGTTTCAACAATCTGTTGTGTTTTTTCTTGAGCAGCCATGATAAAGATACTATTTTAAGCTCTACGTTTCCCGAGTCGGTAAGAAAAGATAATCTATACTATCTTAACGTTTGCTAGATTCTGTTCATTAAGAAAATTTCATAGCGAACAACTGATACTATTTTAAGCTCGGGGTTTTCTGAGTTTGTCACCACAGAAAATCTACACTATCTTTACGTTTGCTAGATTCTGTTCACTGAGAAAATTTCAGAGCGAACAAGTGATACTATTTTAAGCTTTAAGTTTTCTGAGTTTGTCACAACAGAAAATCTATACTATCTTTACGTTTGCTAGATTCTGTTCATTGAAAAGATTTCAGAGTGAACAAGTGAATACTATTTTAAACTCGAGGTTTTCTAATGTCATCAAAACCTAGACCGACGAACTTTCGCTCGGAGACAAATTTACACTTTTCATAACCGAGTGAAAAGAAACTGTAAAGTCATAATTTACCTTAGAGTAAATATAGTAGTAGTATTCGTTCACCACCAAACTCGGTTACACTCGGAAAAAGTGTGTAGTCATGATTTAGATCAAAGTTAATATAGTAGTATTTCTTAATCACCAGATTCGGTTACACTCGGACAAACTGTGTCGTCGTAATTTAGATCAAAGTAAATAAAGTAGTATTTCTTAATCACCGGATTCGGTTACACTTGGATAAACCATGTAGTTATAATTTATAGTAGCAATATAAAACTACGCTTTCATGCAAGTGGGGAAAACTATCAATTCTAGTCAGGGAACGTATAAATAGTGTCGAGGAAGTGTGATCGATCATTTCAAAACAAGAACTCGTCAAGTATGGACGCTCCAACCTCAAAGCATAATCGATTAGAGCGATGAACACCTTGGATACGGTTTATGAGACATTACCTTAAAATAAAATGTCTGCCCTTCCATTGTTCGAATACTCGATTAAGCGAATGAGCTTTGAAGAATGCGTGTTTGTGAGTTTGTTCGAAGTACCGTACGAGCTGGAAATCGGTCTCAGGGCGCAACTTGTTGCGTTATTGTATTCACAAGTGGACCCAAATCATCACAGGCGCACCCACGTGTGTGACTACGAGTGCGTGCGCGCGCTAGAAGCGATTTTGGAAATTTTAAAATATGAATGGCGTGGCAAACCCGCGTTTTATCGTTCCTTTATGACTGGTTTTTATAATTGGGCTCGAACACATTTGTGCAACAAAAATCTCATTTCTCGACTAGTGAACACGGGAGTGGACGCGAGTCACAACAGTTGAATCTATAGTAAGGATTTCGTTTAAATAGTATGCATTCTCCTCTCAGTATCGCAAGGAAGAAATCATGATTGATAAAATAATTCTCATCACCATCATCATTGCTGTTGTTGGAGTAAATTCCACAACGGTGGTGGAAAACTCATCTGAAGCAAACATCACAATGTACCCTGTCTATCCGGAAATCAAATGCGCACCCTCTACCTTGACGGACGTTCTTCTACTCATCTTGAGTTTACTGGCGCTCATTTGCTCCGCTCCGTACCTGTACTCCAAGTACCTATCATCCGACTGCAAGTTCTGTTTCACCAGGATGTCCCGTGAGAAGAAGAATCGGAAAGTCGATGACATAAGTGTTGATTTAAAGTTCGGAGAAGGAGAAGGAATCGATGTTTGTGGTTGACAACCCTCATGTTTTTAGAACGCGCACATTTTCTGAACGCGTTTGCGTTTTCTGAACGTGTACGTTTTCTAAACGCGTTTGCGTTTTCTAAACGTGTTTGCGTTTTCTAAACGCGTTTGCGTTTTCTAAACGCGTTTGCATTTTCTAAACGCGAACTGTTTTAAACTGTAACTTTAACTGTAAATATCCAACAAAAAAAAATAATAAAATGTTTTGATTCATCAAACTGAATATTGCAATATCCAATCCCAGTCGCTCATCGCAAAACACAAGGTTCCCGTGCGCAGCTCCAAGCGCTAAAAAATGTAAATTCCCGAATCAGACCCTACTCTCCAGTCTCCGATACCAGCCCCATACTGTATAATACGGTCTGTCGAAGCCGAAAATTTCACAAGTCAGAAATCTCGGAAACGAAAAGTCGTATCAAAATTCGGTCAGTACAGTTTTCCGATCTTCGATAGTGGAAAAGAATCGCATCCGTCCGCGGCGGATCGGACGAGGGTAATTTTCCGAAAATTTTTCAATTTCCCGGATCAGACCCTAATCTACAGTATCCGATACCAGGCCCATACTGTTAGATACGGTCTTCCGAAACCGAAAATTTTTACAAGTCCGAAAATCCGAATTTTTTGCGCAATCTGGCAACACTGTAAAATGCGATGTTGCAAAATTTCACCAATAATTAAATCATTTATTTAAGTGCACCGTCCGGCAACGCTGCTGCGCCATCTTGAAAAATACACCATTGCATAAACCGCAGATTGAAGGGGCTACATTACACGATTGCATAACCCCATTATTGAAGGGGCAACATGCAATACTTTCTTCCTTACAGCGTTGCCATATTGAACAATAATCCCTATAAAACACTGTAATTTAATTCGTATTTTTCTGCACCTTCATGCAACGCTGTTGGATTTTTTATCGAGCAAAGTCGCCATATTCATACTACCGAGATCCACTTTTCGGTCCCTTTTGTTTTTATTTTCCCATATATCGTCCTGTCCCTTTTCTCTTGTTGTTTGCGATGCCCTAGGGTCATACATTGGATACATGCGCCGATAATCTGATTCAGTTCGACTAGATGGTCGAGACCGATTTTTATAGTATCGATCATCATATTCGTAATGCCTTGAGTGCCTACTGTGGCCTGAATAATGTCTTGGATCATCATGGTAATAGTCATAATGGGGGTCGGGGCTATGGCGTCGATGTCTCCTACGCCCTCTGCCATCTGGATACTTCCTATCAACTTCATGATCGCTCCCACTTTCATCTTGAGATGGTTCATAAGGTGTTTCTTTGTGGTCTCTGTCCTCCCGTTTTTTATGGTAACGGTCGTCTCTGTGCGATGACCTATGGAGATCATCCCGCGACCGCCCATAGTTCCTTTCGGGACTTGAGTAATCTGAATAATCATCGGTTTCCCTTCTTCTTCGGTGTCTACTTTATTCATTACTCCACTTCTTGTCCGATTTTTCGCTTTTCCGATATTCAGACTCTGAATCATCGGCGTTTACTGTTTCCCTATCGTCCCTTCTGCGATCCCAGTCACTCCTTTCGTCCGTAGTTTTGTCCGTTTCTTTGGCTGCAGATCCTGGCGAGCTTTCACCACGGATCTCACCAACAACCATTCTGTCTAAACCAGGGGCTGGAAGTTCATTGGTTTCCAAGGAGTCAAGATTAACACCATTGTTGGGTTGAGGATGATCTGCTTGAGACATTGATGAAGGACTGTCCTGATGCATCTGCCCAACAACCATTCTCCGAAAACCAGGTAAGGGATTACTGTTCTCCTCACCCGTGTTTCTTCCAGCAGGAGTAGTCCGCTCAAAACCTGATTCTGAATCCAGAGCTGGCCTTGGTGTCTCGACATTTGTCGAGACATCATTCAACGAATTCGACAATCTCATACGATTATCACTATGATCAGCAGTGACTTGCTCAGGAACCATCCTTTGTTCAGAGCCTGACCATGAGACAGCTACACTACTAGGGCCAGAAGTACTCAGGTCTGTGTCATCTCTGTGCCCAGGAATCTTCTTGTATCTGATGCGAAGTCTAATTCAATATTTGATGGAATATTACAGCTGTTCCCCTGACCAGGGATTAACCTACAATTATTCGACTGTAAATTCATTGAATTCATAGTGCTAATAGACTGATTACGGGCCAAACTATCACTGCCAGCAGCACTCTCACCTGCGACTAAGCGCTCTTGAGAACTAGTGTGGGTGCTCAAGTGATGTGGTGGCCCTGAAAAGGGCCGTTTTAGAGATGATGAAAGACAGGATGGATGGCGTCTGGAGCGAGTGAAGACTGGAGCAGCGTGGCTGGCGCGACTGAACTTGAGGACTGAGCACGAGTGCCGTGGTAGTCCGGGGGCGCTGCTCTTATACCCTCGGGGTGTGATCGTGTCGGCCAATCACGGGCGAGCGCGGGATGCGCCGCTCTGGAGAGGCGCTGATTGGCCGCCACACTAGTTTCGTTCCACCTGGCACGGAGTCTGACGCTATTTTGCAGATCGCTGCGTGAATATACTCTTTCACTGGTTTCACTAGTCTGTCCGGTGACCATTCGCTCATCCGAATTGGAATTGGAGATTTCTTCATCACTAAGCTGCCCAGGAACCATACGTTGATAATTAGGTTGAGGGCCTTCATCTGCCTCATCTGCTCCATCACCTCTTTCATTAGAACCATCATCATCCTCAGCAGGGACCATCGTCTGACCCGTCACATGTATTTCTAGACTGGACGGTGTTGGCTCTTGCCGCTGCCATTCACTACTAGAATCATTAGTTTCTACAACCAGATTTGTATCAACATCACTCCAGTAGGGTGATGCTTTTAATGGTTGATCATTATTGATATTCAAGTCGGTTAGAATGCTGTTGGTGTTTTCAACAGCAGCATTTTCTTGTTGTTGCAACTGACTTTGTTGCTGAAGTTGGGTCTGTTGCTGGAGCTGATTCTGTTGTTGGAGCTGATTCTGCTGCTGGAACTAATTGTGTTGTTGTTGATGATGGTGCTGGGATGGATTTTGATGGAGAAGTTGGTGGTTTTGTTGTTGTTGTAGTTGCTGCTGCTGCGGAGGCAGCTGTTGCCGTTAATTTGACTGCGTGTGGTAGGATGGGAATTAGTTGTTGTTGCTTTGATGAACCCCTCTTGTTGGAGTCATCGATTCTGACTGAAATGGAAGAGAGGATGACTCGGACACTGTTGGATGAGGTGGGGCGACCGTTGGAGTGAATGTTGGTGGTGGCTGATTAAAAATTACAGGGACAAATGGCTCATCGTTCCTTTCATTCCAATCTTGAAGGTCTTAATTTTGATCTGGAAACTGGTCTTGACACTGGTCCTGATATTGCACTGCATTTCCTCTTGACGAGGCTGAGGGATTTGTGGTGGATGAATGATAAAAATTTTACTGCAACAATACATTTGGGCTATTCATTGCATATCCATAATCTGGCACAGACTGTTGGCTCCCTTTTGAGCCAAAGAAATCAGGATTAGATGTTTGATGTATTCCTCTTTGAATTGGTGAGAAATCTTGCTGATATGTATTACGAGGGGGAAGTCCAGGATAGTTTGGTGCAAGCCCCAAATCATGAGTCTGGGATAAAGGGTTCTGTTTAGTACCATAAACATCGCTTAAAAAAAAAGCACCTTGCATCTTCTTATTCCGGTTCATTGCAGGTTCTTGCTAATCATTGGAATGAGGAATCCCAGAAGCAGCAGGATAAAGAGGTACTCCTCCAGATGCCGACACAGGCTGCTTGCCTTTCCAGTGGTACTGGTCAGGTGGTGCTCCAAACATCTGGACAAGATCAAAACATTAGCAATTAAGAGCTAGACTGTGTCATGTTTGAAAAGTGGCACATCAACACTCAGATCAGAGATGGATTATTCCTTCTGCCCAAAACATGATCCACAAAGGCACAATATGACATAAATGGCGAGAAGAAAGAAGAAGTTCATTTCGTGGCAAACCCTGAATTTGTATGATGATTGAAAACTGAAATAAAACGGCACGAAATTAGTTCACGTCATTAGATGAAGAACTTGCCATCGCCTTCGTGGGTTCTTCAACGCTTCTAGAGTTCACTACTTCGAATAGCTACTTTAAGTACAATGGGAAATTCTATGAGATGAACAAAAGGTTACCTATGGGAGATGTTATTTCAGACATATGGATGATATTTTTGCAGTTTGGCTGGGCACTGATCGAGAACTGTCCATTTTTCATAATGAGATAAATGAATTACATCCCAATCTCAAATTCAAATTGGAAGTGGGCGGAAAAACTCTGAATTTCCTGGACCTTACCCTACGAGTAGAAAACAAAAAGATAAAGTTTGGAATTTATAGAAAACAATGCTTCACAGATGCAATAATACCTAATAACTCGTACCACCCCTGGCCCCCAAAAATGGCAGGGTAGTAGGGTAAAAATAGCGACTTGAGGCCAGTAAATTATCCAACAGCGTTGCATCATGGTGCAGAAAAATATGAATTAAATTACAGTGTTGTATGGTAATTATTATTCAATATGGCAACGCTGTACAAAAGAAGTATTAAATGCTGCCCCTTCAATATGCGGGTTATGCAATCGTGTAATGCAGCCCCTTCAATCTGCGGGTTATGCAATGGTGTATTCTTCAAGATGGCGGTTATGCAACAGCGTTGCCGGACGGTAAGCGTAAATAAATTATTTAATTGTTGGTGAAATTTGGCAGCATCGAATTTTACAGTGTTGCCAGATGGTGCAAGAAATTAGTTATTTTTCGATACAATATTGCCAGATTGTGCAAAAAATTCGGATTTTCGGACTTGTGAAAATTTTCGGCTTCGAAAGACCGTATTTTACAGTATGGGTCTGGTATTGGAGACTGTAGAGTAGGGTCTGATCCGGGAAAAATTTTTCGGAAAATTACAGTCCTCCGATCCGCCGCGGACCGATGCGTTTCTTTTACACTATCGAAGATCGGAAAACTGTACGGACCGAATTTTGATACGACTTTTTGTTTTCAAGATTTAGGACTTGTAAAATTTTGGCGGCATCCGCGATAGACCGTATCTTCCAGGATGGGTCTGGTATCGGAGACTGGAAAGTAGGGTCTGATTCGGGAATTTCAATTTTTAGTAGTGTGCGCTTGGAGATGCGTATCGGAACCATGTGTTTTGGGATGAGCAACTGGGATTGGATATTGCAATGTTCAGTTTGATGAATCAAACATTTTTATTTTTTTTTTGTGGAAATTCACTGTTACAGTTTAAAAAACGCTTGCGTTTAGAAAACTTTCGCGTTTGGAAAACGTCCGCGTTCTAAAAACGTACGCGTTCAGAAAACGTACGCGTTCCAGAACGTTCGCGTTTAGAAAACGTCCGCGTTTGGAAAATGTCCGCGTTTAAAAGACGTTAGTGTTGTCAACCACAAACATCGATCCCTTCTTCTTCTCCGAACTTTAGATCGACACTTATATCATCGACTATCTGATTGTTATTCTTACGGGACATCCTGGTGAAGCGGAACTTGCAGTCGGAAGATAGGTACTTGGAGTACAGGTACGGAGCGGAACAAATGAGCACCATTAAACTCAAGATGAATAGAAGAACGTCCGTCAAGGTGGAGGGTGCGCATATGATTTCCGGATAGACAGGGCACATTGTGATGTTTGCTTCGGATGAGTTTTCCGCCACCGTTGTGGAATTCACTCCAACAACGGTTACGATGATGAAAGTGATGAGAATTATTTTATCGTTCATGATTTCTTCCTTGCGATACTGAGAGGAGAATGCATACTATTTATACGAAGTCCTTACTATCAATCCAACTGTTGTGACTCGCGTACAGACCCAACCATTTGACAAAGGCCTGGTTTTTCTTGCGATGCAGAATTTTCTCCACCAGGAACGTATCCTTATATTTGGTGGGTTGGAGTTCTTCGCGGTAGAATTTTCCTTTAATGATCGTATTGTGCGCGTCTTTCAGATCGTACGTGATCGGAACGGTCGGGTTGACGCTGACAATCTTGAAAATTTCCGTGCTCCAATTCGGTGTGTATCCTTTCTCGAACATGGCTTTGAGTCTGGAGATCCGGACGTGATCACCGACTTTCAGTTTTCGTCTGGACAGACGTCTCTTTTCGGTTTTACTCAGCGGCGGCCCTCGAAGCTTTTGCAGGATCATCGGTACATCCTTTTCGGTGACATCAATTGGTTTCATCCCGATGGTGCGATGAACGCTCCCGTTATATTCACGGATGAGTCGGTAATAGATCTACCCACTTGTACGATCTTTGCGCGCTGAACTCTTTCCACATCTTCGTTTTGAGCGTTCGGTTGAATCGCTCGACAATAGAGGCTTTGGTTGTCGAGTACGAGCAGTACATATTGATCTTGTGACGCTTCATCAATGCTTGACATTTGAAGGTGTAGAATTCCGAGCCCATATCGACTTGTAAATGTTTCGGTGACTTTCCGGCTGCTTGGGAACGCGTTGCATGGCATAAGTGACATCCGTGGTCGTTTTCGATTTGAGCGGTTCAGCCCACGCCTTTTTCGAGCACGCGTCGATGACGGTGAGGAGATATCTGTATCCTTTGTTGACCGAGGCGTAAGGTTGCATCTCGACGAGATCGGCTTGCCATAAATCGAACAATCCGAGAATCCGTACTTTACGACGCGGATAGCTCCGTCGTGCAGGTTTGTGTAGCTCCTCAACGATCCCACGTTTTTCTGCCGACATGACGATTACCGTCGACGTCGTCGTCGTCCGCTCTCTCGATTCAAATGCTGTTTCGATGCAACTATTTTAACCAGACGATTGTAAGATTGCTGAAGTTGGTGAATACGCCCCAGGCAGTGTTGACCTAATTTCATGGCTTCCTTCCACTTCCGTCCGGACCATTGTTTGTTCACCGCATCCTTATCGCTTTCAGGATCTTGCACTTGACGAAGCCGTTTGTTCGATACGATATAATTACCGTCGGAATCCAGTGAGAATCCGTCACCTTTTGGACCGCGGCGTACTTTCGATCGGCCAAAACCGTCGGTGTGACTCATCGCAACACTATTTTCCTTTCGCTCGATTGATTGACACAACCGCTAATTGATTGATCCTATTTTCCAGTCGTGATAATTTTGCCTCGAGTCGTTGCATGATACTTTTGTATTCTTCCATTTTCTCCAAACAAAGCTGTGCTAAATTCATAGCTTTCTTTCACCTCGAGTCTGTCCATTGTTTGTTCACGGCGACGGCATCCTCTTTGGGATCTTGCAGTTGTCGGATCCGTTTGTTAGATACGAGATAATTCCCGTCGGGATCCAGTAAGAAACCGTCACCTTTGGGACCTTGCTTCGTGTTGCGAACGTAAGTCCCTTTCGATCTTCCAAACCGGTCGGTGTGACTCATTTCTTTTGTGCGGAACCTATATTTAGTGGATGTAATCCGCTTCGCGAAGGTCTTCGACGATACTCAGAATTTCACGATCGTGATCGGTGTGACCAGCTTGTTTCGAAGCTACAAGTAAAATGAGACGTTGGACTAACTCGTTCGGATCGTCCCAATAGACGAGTTCCCGTTTCGCACGATGAATTTTGATACCGGAGCCTTTCTTCAATTTTTTACGTGGTGACTTCCGCGTTGATCTCGGAGTCGATGTAGCAAATGTTTTGATGAGATCGCAGTATTTACGACTGCGGTTCGACTTGGGTCTACCGTGTGGATGATTATCCCAACGATGCGCATTGGTGAGCGTAACTACTCGTTGGTATTTAGCGCGATCATCTGCTGTGTAATTACGCGGATGTTTCTTAAAAAGGAGCTCCAAGAACCCGGGTGTCGGTTCGGACACCTCATCGTCACCGTCCAAGATTAGTCGTCCGTCCGAATCGAAACTAATGGTTCGGTTCCCGATAAGAAAGTCTCCGTTGATCGCTTTCCGCACACCATACGCGGTATCGGACTGTTTCGGATGTTTCTTCAGATCGTCAAAGTAGAACTGTACGTTAGGGGCAGTGTTCGTGTCTCGAGAATCGACACCGTCGTCTTCAGTGCGACCCGTTGTTTGTTCTTTATCCGTTGCATCTTGGAACGATTCATCGTCATCATCATCATCCTCCTCCTCCTCCTCCTCCTCCTCCTCCTCCTCCTCCTCCNCCTCCTCCTCCTCCTCCTCCTCCTCCTTTGAGTCATCATCATCATCATCATTCTTCATATTTTTCGGTGATCCGTAGGAAGTAAATAAACTGTCAACAAACATTGTTTCATCTTTCATCTTTCATTTCCGATTTTTGAAGGTTCGATCTTGATTTTCATTTCCTGAGGAGCAGCAGCGACAAGTGCGGGTGTTGACGACGACACAGTTTTTTGCAACGCTGCGAGCGGATCTGTTAACGGTTTAAAAACTTTCTTCAACGTCACCTGAGCGTCCGCCTCTCCGGTTTGAATGGCATTTAACTTCCGTTTGATATCTTGACGGGTTTTATCGATACTACCGTATTTCTGAGCGATCGTCGACAACGATAGTTATCCATCTTGTTCAATATAAGTATCGAAACCTTTCCGGTACCTTCCCTCGTTCTTATTACTATCTTTATCGATGACTAAAAACCCGTACTTGTCGTGCCGATTACGTAGCATGGTGTCAACAAACTGTTTTTCTAAGTTTTTGTCGACACCGTGATCAACCAAAAATAAAAAATTCTGACTCTTGTGAAAAATGATCACGGTGTCAACGATCACGACGTCAACAAAATTTAAAACTTGCCTCAATAATATCTTTCAAATTTCAAGTCTTGTTTTTCTTGTGTTATTTACTCTCGACTAACCTAACCTAACCTAACCCAACTTTACCTAACTCTACTCAACTTCACCCTCTAGACCTAGCCCACTTTCACAGAGCTTAACTTTCCCCGACCATACCCTACATAACTTTACGTGACCCAGACCCCTCCTGTACACTTAATTTTTAAATTTTACTCATAAGGAAGATATTTTTCTGTTTCTTGACACCTTGATTGTTGACACCATGCCCAGGGCCCATTTTTGCGTTTTACTGCCTGAGCATGGCGTCAAGAATCGTTGACTCCATGATCAGATTTTTGGTTTATCGACACTATGATCGTTGCCACCATGCAACGTTACCGTCGTGCCAGCACACCGAACAGATATGTCTGAAATCTTCGAACGTGAAATCTGTGTTGACGTGATTGTCGTAGATGTGTCGCAAGTTTGTATTATCCTGTTTGAAAACTACGAGCAGGTTAGCGTCATCGTATATATATTGTTATTCTACTGAAATGGGGGTTACAAATTTTGTAAACAACGCATATTCATCTATTCGATACTTAAAAGATTGTATTTATACGTTAATTCATGGTTAATGGAGGAGGTATGGTTTGGGTTTTGTTCCAAAGTTGATCTCGTAAATGGTGTCGGCAATTTTCCTGTGGATTTTCCTTGGTCCGGTCCATAAGATTCTGAGTTTTTGTGTGAGTCCCGGCCGGGTCCCAGGCATGTAAATTAGCACTTCGTCGCCTTCTTGTAGTGTCACATTTCGTCTTTTTGCGTCGTAGTATTTCTTTTGTTTTTGCTGTGCCTGTAATATTGCTATCAGAGCCTTTTCCCGTATTTCCGCCATCTTTTCCAGTCTTTTATCCAATTCAACGCCTGTCGGTTGGGTTTTTAGCGTGAAATCTATTGGGAAAGTGGGTGGTACGCCAAAGAGCGCTTCGAACGGCGTCATTTTTATTGAATTATGGTAGTGTCTATTTAGCACGCTGGTGCAGACGTCAATGTATAAGTCCCAATCCGATTGGTCGGTGCATATGTAGCTTTTTAGTATTGTTTTGATATATTTAAATTGTGATTCAATCTGCCCCGACTGCTGTGGCATGTACGCAGTGTTATGCCGTGGGTTTGTTCCCATTTGCTTAATCAGTTCTTGAATGTATTCTGCTACGATGCTTGTGCCCAAGTCGCTGCGTAGTGTTTTGATTGGTCCAAACAGACAGTTTACTTTGAATAAGAATTTGCCGATTGTTTTACTATCGTTCTTTTTTATTGCTTCCGCGTAAAGACATTTTGCGAAATGGCATATGATCGCGACTATATATCGGTTTCTTAGTTTTGACACTGAGCATTGAGCTACGTCTATTGAGCATTTTCTGAAGGGGTATGGTTCAATGGCCGCCGGTGTCATCAGTCCAGCGGGGAAGCAGTTGCGAGGTTTTACTCTTTGACAGGTCGGGCATGATGCGATCCAAGCCTTTGTGTTTTCCTCCATTTGTTTCCAATAGAACCGCGGAAGGTAACGAGGCAGAGTCAGTTTGCATTAACCATTTTTCATATGCTGCATGAAGCACAGTAAGGTACTCTACTGACACTGGTTTTTCTTCAGGTCTCGCTTTGCGACACATTCTTTCATATACAATTTCAGGACTGCTTCGCAAATAAACGATTAAGTCCAAGCCAATGTCCATGTTGTTTTCTATCCACCTACACCATTCACACATTGCCGTGTATTCAGGATCTGTCAGAACCCCTTCGTCATGAGCCATTTCTACGAAACAGTGTATGTTATTTTGGAGAGATCTCTCAAAAATTTGAACAGCTTTGTCAGTATCTTTGGTCTGCTGTTTCAATCGTGACAACTGAACATTATGTTGGAAGGGGAAGTTCCATTTATCAGGGTCAGAGTAAAGGAGGTGCAATAAATTGTGCCCATGAAAATTTCTCCACTCAGCAACTGGTTCGGGGTAAGCATCCATTTCCGGGAATTGTTTATAATAGTCAATGAGAGTAGATTTGCCGCATCCAACATTTCCTTCGATCGAGACTTTAAAAGGCCTTTTCTTCAATTTCTTATCCATCTTGGCGGATACACTGCAAGAATGATTAGCCCTAATTCCAACAGCGATAACACGGTCAATCCACCCGCAATGCGGCGGCTGGTAGGGGCCTGTTGCAGGGGTTCACTAAAAGGTACTTCTCCTGTGACAGATATTCCGGAGTCCCGTATAGGTGATGTCCACAGCCTAAGCGCTTTTAGCGCCGCTGCTGAGGGGGTAATATGTACTGTCTCTCTTCTCGGATCTCCCTGTACAGTTTCTTTCCGAACTTGTGTCCTCGTACGGATAGAGCGAACTGGGGGGCTTGGCTTGGGGTGTCTCCACCTGCTTTTTCTATCCTACGGAGCGCTGCTCTAGCTTCGTATACTACTGCGCCATCTGCGCAAGGCGGCGCGCTCAGACAGCAAATCAGTGATTGGTGTTGATTCTGATACAAATATGATTTCATCAGCATTGCGTCCAGCTTCCCAACTGTATTGCTTGTGTCGATTTTGCTGTTGGGCAGTTGACAATCCAAGAATTTCTTGAGGTTCATCGTTAAAAATTCGAAAACTAGATACATTCGATTTTCTTCCATTAGAACTTCGTACAAACTGACAATGTTGGGGTGGTCTAATTCTTTGAGCAGTGTGACTTCTCTCAAGGCTGTAGACGGAATACCTTCATCATTTCCTTCCATTCTAATTTTCTTGATGGCCACAATCTGGTCAGTCTTTTTGCATCTTCCTTTGTAAACGACACCATAAGTGCCCTCCCCGATCTTTTCAATTTTAATATAACCATCCATGGTGGAATTAAGTTGTAACAAATTCACAAATTGAACAGGATGAAATAGGACACTGCAGAGTGCAAACAAGCTACCGTTCAGTCCATAAGTGGCTTGCCTTCACGCAAATTTTAAGGAAACACAAGGAGGAAACTTGATGATAACGGAAGGGATAAAAAAAAACCGCCGGGAAACTTTATGGCTTTTTGTTGTGTACAGTTTTTGGCGGTTATTCCTTTGGTTTTGAGTTGAAACCATAGCTGTCTTGGGAGTTTTTGATGAATCTTGATTTGAAGTATCTTCTATATGTGTAGAAGTGAATTATGCCTTTTATGACATGTTTTGCAGGAGTATTGGTTCTTACAAACAGAACTGGAATGATTGAATTTCATGAAGTTGAAACACAGGTTCTTCTCTTTGACAAATGATCGACGCACAGCGATTGATTTAGCTAAAAATGATTCGCAAAAATAAATGTGATGATCTTGAGTGCAGCATGGACATTTTTATTGAGACGAATTCTGTTTCGGCTTAACTGAGGCTGTGAGTGTTGCTTTGATGGTGGTTGCTTGGGTTTCGGCTTAGTTGACTTGGCTGCCGAACTGCTGAAGAAATAAACCCTATAAAAGAAATTAATAATCCCGAAGAAGAAATTAATAACCCAGACCCAAAAAATAAAAAACCAGACAAAAAACCCCTTCCGATCTTCATAATGCATTAAGATCCAGAAGAAATTAAAAAAAATACTTAAAGACTATGAATTCGATTTCTCCTTAAAAATTATTTCTAAAAAACAAATAATAATCGTTCTAAAATCAATACCAGATCACAATACCCTAACTCAGAAATTAAATGACCTAGGAATCGAATTATTTACTTTTCAAAGCTCTAGTGGAAAAATAACAAGACGTCTAATCAGAGGATTACCAATCAATTTTGATAGGGAAATTCTCAAACAATAATTAGAAAAACATCAACCAATAGAAGTCAAAAATATCCATCAATTACAACATGGATTCACTAAAGCCCCGATCCCTCTCTTCAAGATAGAAATGAAAAGTAATAAGAACTCTTGGATAAAATTAGATGAAATCTAGACAATTAACGATTATGAAATTAAGATTGAATGAATAGGGATCAAAAATATTGATATTCCTAACTGCAAAAAATGTCTCCAATATGGACATACAAAAAACTTTTGTTATCGTGAGATAGTATGTTTAATCTGCAATTTCCATCATTTAGGCACCGAATGTCCAATCCTAGAAAAATCTAAACAGGAAGAAGTCCAATGGAAGCCAGTGTGCTTACACTGTAAGGAACAACATTTAACAACCTAGAAAGGTTGTAAATTTTACAATAAATTAAGGAAACAAAGATTCAACCAGTATAAAAAAGTTGCCGAAGAATGTAAAAAAATAATACTTGAAGAATAGACAAATTTAGCAGATAGGAACAAAACCCAAAAAGACGAGAATTTCTCAAACAAAAATAAAATAACTAATAATATGAGAAAATTAAGAAATGAAATTAATAAAAATCTAGAATTAAAATATCAAGAGAAATTCTCTAGTCATGCATAAAAAAGAATTAATCTCTCTGAGAAGGGAGATAGCAGAATTGAAAACAAAGCTGACCCCATCTTGAATGATGTGTTATATCAACTAACTGTTAATACATAATTAGACAGCTGCTTCTTATCTCACCGGATAATGTCACTTAACACCCTGGAAACAGAGTAGAATCATAATGTAGTTGACCCTTCCCAAAACTTTGGAAATTGAAATAGTTTACCGTAATTTATACACAGTTGTTTTTTTCTGATCTTTATCAGATAATCTTTATAAACCGTCGTTGGAGGTTAACCATTCCTCAATAAAATTGTAGATAGCATTGTATTCGGATTTTATCCATAGGTTTTGCCGAATATAGCTCAATTTCCTGTTCTGGAAATTTTCACCGATTTCCAAAACACTGTAGATATTTTAACTCCTTGAAATATTTTTCTTCATTGATAAGTCGTCTTAATCAATTAATCAGATATTGACTCTTCGCTTATCAGCAGTTGTACATATCGGTAATATAATCTCTTGTCTAGATTGAGTCCGTATTAGATTAAGTTTAAATTCAGGTATTTATCCATTGTATAAATCATATTGTATTTTTTCTTAATTTTTAAATAAATTAAAAAAAAAAATCAAACCGAACATTGCAATATTCAAACCCAGTTGCTGATCCCAAAAACATTAGGTTCCGATACATATCTTCAAGCGCACACCGCACTATGGTCTGGGAGCGCCAAATCGTGGCCAAAAATCCGATTTTTGAAAGTGCGGAAATCTGGCAACCTAGCATGCAGCCCTTATCTACATCCCTTGGCAAGTGTGAAATGACCGATCGAATTTTTTTTAAGTGTTTTTAAGATCGGATATATGGTGGCCAACTTCACAGACTCAGAGGTAAATGAAGAAATGTGAGAATTCGAGGTGAACGTCATCACATATTACCTTGTGCTGTTTTGTTAAAAGTCGGCATAGATCCTCGATCAAATATGGAACAGAAAGCTCAAAGGGAGCACTTTTTGATAGTTTAATCGTTTTTAGTATTAAGATTAATTTTATGACCACCACGAGACTTCAAAGTTTTGTCCTAATTTAGGCAAACAATTACCTTCACCTTAACTTTTAGTTATCACTAACAAGAGCTAACACGTTCTTTTCGGTGCCAGAATGTAGCTCATATATTCCTCTAACAGGATATCATAGGTTTTTTTGCATCTTTTTGCCTCTGAGGCCTTTTTCGGTCATTTCAGTGCAGCGGTTGTGTGATTTTGTGAGTAATCCGATTCCGCTGTGCAACAAGATAAGAGAGATGAGGCAAGGTCAGCGTTGGACAAAGGGTGGATCTTATGTAATTTTGGCTGCTGAATCCGAAAATGATGCCTATTTTCTTCCAGCAGTTGCCAGTTTTCTGGAAAATGAAGTTTTTTTGCGGGAAAACGCATTTTTGAGCGAAATGATATTTTCTCCACAGAAGTGATGATAACTGGATAAAACGAAGGTCATTTTTTCATTCTTGAGATTTCATATGCATACGCATTTACCAACTCGCCTTCCTGTGGTGTAATGGTTGTAGTGCTAGCCCTATGATCAGAAGATCCCGAGTTTGACTTCCGCCCAGGCAACTCGAGCTTGATGATCGCAAGCCATATTACTGGGAGCTTATTGTTGGGAAGGGACTGATGGGGAAAGGAATTCAAGCACGGATATTAGACCTTAATAGCAATTTTAGTTCCGTTTTCTTGTATTTATTTTTTGAAATGGTTCAAGTTTATCATTCCACCTAAAACATTATATTAACATTTGTAACCATAAAAATCAGCGCAAAATGGTTGAACTGTTTCCAAGAAATATAAGAATATCAAGGCTATTAATTTTTAAGTATTCTAAAATATGTCCCGAAACTTTTCGTAGCAGGGTCTGGCGATCAAAGAGTTAGGCAATTTAAAAAAAAAAAACCGCCAGAAATGAACATTTTTGGAAGGAAATTTTTGTTCAGGGAGGGGACACTCTATACCTAGGCTTCATACCTCCCCCACCCCCATAATATATATCATGCTCTAGCCAGGACCAATAGACTAAAAAACATAATGCTAACTTTATTCAATTACGATAATGTCTTATCTTTTCCAGGGTAAAATATTCATTTTTAAGCCTTTTGCTCTGGTAAACGCGTCATTTTTGCAAAACTGAGTTAGCAAAGTGTAGTCTGGCAACCTTCAAAACACTAAACTGTCATTTAAAATGGCATCCGAATCATAGTTTGTATTCTTTTCTAATTTTTTAGTTTTAGGGTCCGCCGCCATCTTGGATTTGAAAATTTTGTAGAACTAAGGTCAAATTTGAATTCAGCGACCCTAAAAACATGAGCACACCAAATTTCATGATAATCTGACCATTTCCTGATTTATGACCACAATTCGGCGCCCTCAGACCATAGTGCACCGCCCCGCCACTAAAAATTGAATTTCCCGAATCAGACCCTACTCTCCAGTCTCCGATACCAGACCCATCCTGGAAGATATGGTCTACTCGTGCCGAAAATTTTACAAATCTGAAATTCCGAATTTTTTGCACAATCTGACAACGATGTATGGAAAATTATTAATGCCTTGCACCATCTGGCAACACTGTAAAATTCAATGTTGCCAAATTTTACCGATAATTAAATGATTTATTTATGTGCACCGCCCGTCAACGCTGTTGCATAACCTCCAAACTGAAGGGACAACATACACCATTGCATAACCCGTATATTGAAGGGGCTACATGCAATACCTCGCACGGAAAAAAAAGAGTCGGCATACAATACCACACATGTCCGGTAAATCCCATTTTGGCGATAAACACCAGGAATTTATCCATCAAAACAATATTAGTTTCCTAAGTTAAAAAGCCGTAGCGGAAAATTTACCACACTCAGATTGTCAAAGAACATCTGTTAGAATTTATTAGGAAATAAGTATATTCTACCTGATAAGTACTGAGTGGTAAACTATCCTTACTCTATCATTTTGAACTAGCCTGTAGCTGCAGTTTAAATTTACCATACTAGAGCAGTCAATTCAACCGACCGAAATGTCACTATGAACAGCAGTACTTTTGCCGTTGGTGAACAGCTGAGATGCGGTCCGCCATTTTTCCTTTGATGTCAGTTATAAATTCAGCACGGTGAGAGCCGGAGTCTGTGCGCGTGGTGTTCTTGATCTATACAAATTCATGTGAATTCACGCGTAATTTGCCCAAATTTGTGTTCAAATCGTCTATAAGGCCACCGTCGTTTGTTTGAATCTATCTAGTTTGACCTGCCACGTATATTTTCTGGGATTTCTCAGTGACTCGTATCGGACACTTTTTGGAGGTTAGGAGTTGCTGCAATGAATCTGGCTAGCGGAATGAGTGAATCATGAAAACTTGAAGTGTTATGCCTCGGCAAATTTTCGCGTTATAAAGTGAATATCAGTGCTGTGTAAAGTCATTTTGAAAGCGTTAAGATGCGTACATCTATTCGTGTTAAGATTTTCGAAGGTCAAAATAATCAGATGAAGGGCCAAATATGCGTGGAATTTCTGTTCAACTGTACAGTTTTAATCAAAATTTGAGTTTTCGCCCCACCGTGAACTTTGTGGCGATTGATTTTCGTGCAGTGTTTTTTTGCAGGTACATTTTGAACTATCTAGTTA